GGGTAAACTTGGATAAGTGTACTCCCTTCTTTCAGAAAACCTCATATATGAAAACCCAAGTTTATAAAGGAAAATTGGGAGTGATTACTTGCATCGCAAAACCATGCTTCACTATACCAGAGGATTTCTTGAAATATTCCTTTCTGTGGCTAATTCCCAGCCCCAAACCCATTTTTTTTCTTAAAGATCGATTCAGTTTACAAAAAACTACCTTTCGTGACATTCATTACATCGAGTGCAAACAAACTAAGAGGCAATCCTTGTGAGTCACCCAGTACAGCCAAATTAAAGTACTCAAGGACTTCTGTTGTATAGAGGAAATTTCTTCATCATTCCTTCCTTTTTCCCTTCCCCCATGCCACCGGTCTATTTAACGCTTTTACCCTGTGTATATGTGTGTGTGTGTGTGTGTTTGTGAGCAGTTTAGCATAGCTCATTTTCAAATGAAATCTTATATAAAGCTGCACTATTTCATGAGAAAACACCACAGAACTCTACACTTCTAAGAAACATAGTCGGAAAACCGTATCTCCAGGTCATTCTCCAGTTCACTGCCAAGTCTCTAGAAGTCATCAGTTTGTATCTACCGGTCTTTGTATTTCCTGAAACACACAGAACAGGTGGAACTACATTGTCTACAAATACAGGCAATCAGTTCCTTTGGATCAGGCAGGCTTCAGTTGCAGAGCCTGAACCGACTCTGGCTACTTCAAGCAAAAACAGATTTGCTAAATGGCTTGCACGATCATTGGGGTGACTTTTCACCACAGAACTGGGACAGGGCAGAACCTGTGACAAGGAGGAAGCTTCCTGCTTCCCTAGACCTCTGTAACTCCAAAGCCTTGCTGCCTTGAGCAGGAAGCTATTCTAGGGTCAGAGAATCAGACCCACTTGTGCCCTTGGCACTAGAAAAATGGGTGCCTTGCACTTTGACTCTCAACGCTAGTTTTAGTGACTACACCCTGGGACAATGACCAAGAAAATCCAAAAGCCTCCACAAATGCCTTGGTCCCTACTTTGGGAACCCAGCGCATTTGACATTCTAGAATGACTCTGCATTCCAGCTCCGGAAGTGAAAGGAAGGCACACTGGAAGGCTGCAGTGAGCAATGCCAGTTAGCCATCGGACCCACTCATGCCTGTCCACTTGGTTCCATGCTAGAGAAAATACTCTCCTGTGCTCACACGCCAAAAAGATCAGAATGTGCCCCAAACCTACTGACCTGCTACAAAACTCTCTTCTGTTAATTTTTGTTTTTATATTACATTTCAATCACTCCTGGCGCTTAGGAAAACACATTCCATAAACGTTGCACTTATTCCACAGAGCAAGGTTTCTTTTCATTTGTCTGAAATTATTTCTCTTTTAACTGTCCAAGGGCTAACCCTTCATGCTCAAATCATTGAGTCCTCAAATGCAAGTCTTTAGCGTCTCTGCCCCAACTCTTCTTGGCTTTCTGCTTTGTAGGATGGGGGCGGTTTCCTCAATCTTTTACTTGTACCTCCTACTCACTCTTGTGCACAGGAGGGGAGATTGTGGCAAGCATGAACCTTTCTCCCCACCCCCCAAATCGTTCTCAGAGAATGATCACCCTCACTGTTACCATTTTGGAATAGAGGAACAGAAACGGAGATGCTCAGTAATTCACACGCACCGAGAAAATTTTCCCTCAATTAGTCTAGAATTCCTCCAGAGCCATTTAAAGTCGTTCTTGTTTGTCGAGGCTAAGTCTTTAAGAAGCAATTTGTTATAGAAATGGAATGGCACCACCTCTGGCTGCCGGGCTGGTATGGGCTGGTCTCTTTTCTACAGCAAACCATTCAGAATCCGGTCAACAGAGGCATCTGGCTGCAGCCAGGAGGAAGTTGCTACTGCTGTTCTTGTTTTCACAGGAGTTTTATTTTCAAATTCCTGAGGGCACACAGAAGGGTGGGAACATCTTGCGGCTCTCCTTCCCCCAAAGCCAACTGTGGAGCAGCCAGACCCCAGCCCCTGCTGCTGGTTGCGTTCCAGTCGGGCATTTCCAAGACGGTCATGATGAAAAGGCAACGACTCCATCATTAAGACCCAGGCCTGCCAGCAGCGGGACCTTTTTTTTTTTTTTTTCATGGAAATGATTTCTAAAACCAAACTCTACTGCAAAGCGGTTTTGACTTTATTTTGTAGACTTCCTCTCGCCTCATCTTCTCTATTTTCACTGAAGAGAGCAGGAAGGAGATGCAGCGTCAGTTCCGCCGAGAAAGATCTCATCTGGGCTCCGGATGGGTCGCGCGGGAGGGGAAGCCACCGCGGCAGGATCACGTGAGCATACGGAGCTGGTGCAGCGTTGGAAGCTGCTCGTGTTACGAATCGGAGACCCTGAGCACATTTCTCTCTTCGCTCTCTGCTTTGTAAACCTCCAAGAGTGGCTAACTTTGCCCTGGGCTTGGGAAAGGACTTGTGGGTTTTGCTGTCACTTGGCCAGACCTGCGGTCCCAGAGTCCCCTCCCTGATGGGCAGCGCACATCCTGCACGCAGGGACAGTGTCACACAAACACCAGCGATGTCTAACTTCTCTGTGCTGAACAACGCCTTGTGCCCACCCTCCCCCCTTCCCCCTGCACCGCCTTCTCCATACAGATGGTGTGTGCTACCCCTGGGGTGACACACGGGCCAGCCACTGGCGGGAGGAGAGTGCAGCACGGCCTCAGGTGCAAAACTGAAGGGGCCTCCCAAAAGTGAGTCGTCGTTTCATGTGATTTTTTTTTTTAATTAAATGCCAAAAATCCATCATGAACAAACTATGGAAGTTTTAAATAAAGACAGGATCAACAGGGCTTCGGGGGAGATCTTACAATTCTGCCGATGAACAGAAAACAACAGTGACCAGATCCCAGAAATTACGTGGGGCCTCCAAATGGCAGCGACAGTGGGTGTGCAGGAGGTCGCGGCTCAGTCCCCCTCCTGGGGCAGGTGGAGTCATAGTGGTGTTCCTCTGTAACTGCTGGGGGCACCCACTGCTCCTGGTTCTGGGCTCGCTGGGGAGCCTGCTCTTCTCCAGAGCCTGTGTGTCCATATTAAATAAATGCAGGCACACTCGGGATTTTCCAGAACACAAAGCTGAGCAAGGGCCCCTGGCAGGGAGACTGTGTTTAGACTCTCCCTGGCTCACACTTTCCTGTTTATTTCGCATCCGGGCTCAACTGAATTACGCCACAAGGCCAGGTGCAGCTAGGAGGACATTCCCGAATTGGCCACAGAGTGGTGGTCAAGGGCAGCGCCAACCCCACTGGTCCCGCACCAGCCTCATTTCTTGGAACCATGGATCCTCTTGTGTGGGCAAACTTCTCATTCCTCTCCTCTCTGCTCCGCCGTATCCCTTCGTTTCTACCCAAGAGTTATAAAAATCACAGGCCCAAAAGTGCCTCGCAGAGCTAGAAGAATAAACACCTTGGATACTTTTTTTTTTTAATCTGCTGTGACTCTGAGCTCACGAGAACTTGCACAGCAAGGTGTGCTCAGTAAAACTCGAGAGCTCTGCAGAAGCGCAGCCACTTGGTGAGAAAACACCAGCCACCCCCGGCAATCCCGAGGGCAAGGCTGCGACCAGCTCTCTCTGGCCCAGGCTTCTTCCTGAACTGTCTGATCTACCTGCATGGCCTGCTGCGCTCGGCTGCTGGAGGAACCTCCTGCTGGCAAGACAAAGGAGCCGTTATCCCACAAGCTCAGTGATCCCCAGGGATGGAGGGAGGCACCCGGGCTTTTATTCTTATCTTCATTTTATTTTGCAAAGCACAGCCAATCTTTTCAGGGACCAAAGCTCCCTCATTTCCTGCAAAGCACAAAGGAGAAATTCCCCTCCCGGATTGGCTCCTGCTCTCGCAAGCTGAGTGGGGCAAAGAGAGCACAAAGCTCTGTTGAATCCAGATGGAACGCCCCAACCTAGGGCTAGTGTGGTGTAGACCCTGTCCTGGCCCAGGATGTTCCTCGGGGGTATCGCGCACCCGTGTGTCCTACTCCTTCAGTTGTACAGGAGATGAAGAGAAACTGGAGGCCCACTTCTACCATCGAACTGTGTGACCTCAAAAAACAAAAACAAACCGCCCCCCCACCAAAAAACTAAAAAACAAGAAAAGAAAAGAAAAAAGCAGATTTCTTTGTGGTTGTCTTCGAGGACCCTGGATTATTAACCTAAAAGGATCTATATAAAATTTAATGTTAAAATGTCACATTGATAATACAGATAATAATAGTTTAAGGGTTTCTTGGTTTGGGGTTTTTTTGTTTTTTTTTTTAAGGTCAGCTAGGAGAATGTTTGCAACCAGTCTTCTTGTCATCTTCAACCAAGGGAACAAAATCAGCATTCCTCCCCGCAAAGCTTTCGCTGCTCTTTTCCCCTTCAAGCAAGGCATTTGCTAGGTTTCATGTGGCATCATTTTGCTGTCTTGTGCAGGGGCCAAACCCCGAAGCCTTCTGTGGGTTGATCCTGTTCCTGTCCCCTCCTACCCCGTGACCCCATCTATCTGCAACAACAAGTACTGGACTGGAACCTTGAAACAGCAGGTTAAGCTTATGAAATCGGCAGAGAGGTCTAAATCCTTATGATCTGTACATTCTCTTGAGGGGCCCAAACATTTTTTAAAAAGCAAAGTGACCTAGAAATTGAATTTCCAATATAAAAAGAGAAAATGGTAAGTGGTAATGGCAGAACAACAGAATCCTTCTGCTTTCCTTAAAAGCTTGTTGAAAGGAAAAGCTGTAGCAAATTGCATGCCAAGCCCCTCTCTCCTTCTGTGGGTGGTGGGACTAGCCCTGTGTTTATGGTTTTCACTAACAGTCGCAGGGCCCAGCCCCACAGACAGCCTGGACGTGCTGTTTCTTCAGCGTGATGTTCAATTAGTCAAATTTCTTAGTACTTGCGTTTTCACAACACAAGACCTAATTAACATTTGGGCGCAGGGGAATAAAAATACATACATGCAGTAAAAAAGGGGCATCAGAAACTGCCCTCTGAGGCTTACCCAGAGATCTTTCTTTCGTCTGGTTGGTCGACCTCACCACGGGAAGGCTCGCTCGAGTTCGGCTGCCTCTGGAAAAAGGACTTGGAGCTTCTCCCTCAGACATGGCTTCCAAAGAATCACCAGACGTCTCTGATAAATGCTCGACAGGGTCGCCCAAATTGGGAGGTTGGGGACTATGAGACAGTTTGGGGCTTCTTGTCTGCAAAAGGCATGTGAAAGAAAAGTAGGAAAATAAATGACTATGAATTATGCTGAAAATTATTTTCAATGCCATCAAGCTCTGCCAATCTGGGCAAACAATATGGCAGGGGAAAAATCCGTCGGAAGGACTGGACACAGAAAACTGAAGATCCAGTGGGTCAAAGTATCAGTTGTGAAAGTTACCAGAAAAAAAAAAAACCTATATTGTCCCTGAGTATTCCATTAAGATTTTTATCACTGCGCATCTACTGTACAAATACCAGCTTGAACAAGCAGTTGAGGACAAGCCACACCATAGGAAAGAATGATGGCAAATCAATTCCTCTGGCCCGACAAATTTTAACAGTTGTTATGACAACAGATGGGATTATGCACGTTTATATATACCTAAATGGATGAGGCACTCACACCACAGTAAACTGAATACAACCAGTCCTTCAAAGTCTTACATCAAGACTGTTTCCAAAATCAGTAAACCAAGATTGTACGGAGACATTTATACCACAGTTGAATTTCTTCCTTCGAGCCAGAAATCCCATAGGTAAGATTATGTCTAGCTTGTTATGCACAAACAATGAATCATGGAACACTACATCTAAAACTAATTGTGTAATGTATGGTGATCAACATAACAATAAAAAAATAAAAAAAAAGTATCTAGAATAACTTAAACACACACGACACATAACTGAATTCTTAAGTTATATATACTGTAATGGCAAGAAATTTCATGTGTAAAATGCTCATGATCATTCACGTCAAGATCATTCAACGTCAAGAACATTCCTTGAACATGGACTACTGGTTGAGCATTGTGGGAGATGGAGAAAAACAGACAACAGGTTGCCTGCTGGCAACGAGTTTCAGAACTAATTGGTGCAATTAGTGAAGGGCACACAATAACACAAGGTAGTGGATAAAGAAGTGTAAAGTAGGGACTGTGTGGGTACATCCATTCATCCTTCCAACAGACACGTACTGAGTACCCCCGCTATGTTCCAGGCACTGCGCTAGGTACTGGGGCCAGAAAGATGCAAAAAACAGGCGTCGCCTTGCCCTCCTGGTGCTCACAGTCTAGTCAAGGGACCAACACTGAAGACAAAGCGAAGGTGTGGTGAGAGTGTGTTAACCCCGACTGGCGGGCGTGGGGTGCTTGAGTGGAGAGTTGGGAAGACCCGGAAACTGTGTTCTCAAGAAAAAGGTAAGCTAGGAGGAGGGGGTGAGCCAGAGGGAGGGATAAAGAGAGGGAAAGGCATTCCAGGTGGGGGGGACAGCAAGTGCAAAGTCCCCGATGAATAAAGAAGTGGCAAGCAGTGGAGGCTTGCAGGGGCTTGTCCAACAGAGATCAGATCTCATAGACTTGGAGTCAAGGTGAGGGTGCTCAACTGAATTCTAAGGTACCAGAACTCCAAGGAGGTATCTGAGGCAGGGCCAAGAGGTGAGGGGGGCCAGGATCAGATACATTTTTTAGAGGATCACTCGAGCTATTGTGTGGGGGTCAGAGATTATACCTGTGGAAGGTCAGAGAAAGGGAGTCAGCGAAAGTAGGGGATTAGGCTGAACGAACACGTGATCTTAGCTCTCCCCTCTCGGACTGCCCACTGTGTCTGGCATTCCCTGATCCCAGGCACCTTCTGGAAGGCAAACTGATCGGAATGAATCAGGCAGGTGAGTTTTCTCTTACTAAGTAAGATGCCAAAGGTGCTGAGGGGCTGCTGCTGGGCTACAGGCAGTCCATGGTAGCTAGTTTTTTGGTTTGTTTGCATTCCTTAATTTCCTTTAAGTCTTCCTAAGGAGGCCACTGCATTTTGAAGTTAAGCACCATTTAACTCTCAAGGCAGGAGGAGCTCTGTGGGTGCACCTATGCCCCATGCTTGAAAGGGTTCTGTGCTTGGCTTCAGGCTCTACTCGGGCTGTCTTGAAATTCTTTTTATTTTAGAGAGTGAGAGAGTACTTGGGGTTGGGGGGGCATTTTGAGAGGGGAAGAGGAGAGAGGGAGGGAGGGAGAGGAAAAGACGGAGGGAGGGAGAGAGAAAGAGGATTTAAGCAGGCTCCATGCTCAGCATGGAGCCCGATGCAGGGCTCAGTCTCATAAGCCTGAGGTCATGACCTGAGCCAAAAATCAAGATTTGGATGCTTAACCGACTGAGCCACCTGGGTGCCCCTGTCTTGAAATTCTTAACGATTTTTGGAACAAGGCACACTGAAAAATATGTAACCTGATATACCAGGGAACCCTTTTATGGAAAGAATGATCAGCTCCTTTCCCCTCTCTTTTGCTGAGAGTACAAGGAGACCCTCTTGGCAGGAGCACTATTGCATTATCTATAACCTCACTCCTGGCTACAGCTCTCAGGACCTTTCCACAGAGGAAAATTGGAAAAGGGTCAGAGGGCATAGATCTGTGCACTCCCTTAAGTGGGGGATGTGGCTTCAGGGAGAGGACCAACCTGGTTGTTCCTTAGGAAACTCTCAGCTCAGATTACATGCCAGAAAGGACACCCATTAACAGTTAAACTGTCTCTTCGGGTTAATTTTTCTGTGCAAGCCCCCAAAACTGGTTGATTCTCAGATTTATTTTCCATTAAGTCTGCTTCTGTAATAAAGACTGGGATTGGGCTTTGGCACTCGGTGAACATATTACTTGACTAGAAAAATCCCTCCATCACTGCCTGGCCCATCGAGATCTAGATAAATTCACAGGGTCTTCAATGAAGCAGCTACCTGGTTGCTACATTCAGCAGAGTATCAAGGGAAGATGTCTTCATTCTGCCTTAAAAAAAAAAAAAAAAAGACTACGCACTCATCTTAGCAAAATAGCCAAGAAATAATATTACTTTAAACAACAGGGCCAAGTTCCTGGCCTCTGCCATTTTGGTCATCTCTGCAGCCCACGGCAGATATGATACATTTGATGAGTTGTCATTTTCCATTGCAAAAGGCAATAATCCTTGAAGAGAGTCAGAATCAAATTTCTGCTTCTCGTTCAGGGTCACCGTGGTGGTAATATGTATAAAAATAGAGTTGTACTGGCTAATCTTTTTTTTTTTTTAACTTCCTGTACACAGCTACTTCATTCCAAATATAAATTTCCCCTCTTTTTTTCCATGTCATTCACTTTCCCCCTGCAAACTATCATTGCAGATTAGCAGTCTCCTCACAGGGTCCCATCCCCCGAAGCCAGCTTGCTGCTGAGACATCATATAGTGCAGAGAAGAGACAGTGGAAATTGCTGATAGTAACGAATGTCAGCTACCCTGTGATTTGCTATATGAGAAAAGAAAATGCAAAAGGCATTTGCAACAGGGACTCTGCACTCAGCACAGTGCCAGGCTCCCGGGGTTAGAAGCGCTGCATAGGGTTCTTGAGCTCCTAATGCACTGAAGGTATATTTTGGGGCCGAGGATAATACACGCATTAACAGTTGGACAAAAGAGCTAAGAGGTGTGTCACTGTGAGCGCAGAAGGGATTTGGGAGCAGGACTGCTGAAACTGAAGGGTGGATCAGGAGGAGGGGAGAACATGGGTGAACTGAGCAGTCACACACCCATGTTCTCAGGTCTCTGTGCACTGGGGGGCACCCAGGAGGAGAACGTGGGACAACTGCTGGCCTCTCAAGGGACATTTTCCCCTGTCTCTCAGCTGAGCTAACAGATACATCGTCCAAATCAGTGGAATACCAAGTTGTCTCTTCCTATAGGCAACCTTGGGGCAGGATTTTGCCTCCTGCTAACCTCTTTAGTAATACCGAATACGTGAAAAAGCTTCACTTTTATTATTTGATTGATGCTCAGCAATCTTTCAAAGAGCTCCCGCCCCCAAACAATGTCCTCCTTCTCTGTGGAATTCCTCCCTGCCCACTTGGATAAACCCCTGAAGCCCCATGTCCCATATGGCGGTGGGCGGGGAGGGCATACATTGCAGCTGCCCGGGACACTCCTAATTTTGGACCTGTTGTCCTAGGGCCATTATTAGGAGAGACCCCCTTTTACTCTCAAGCGTATACTGGTTTGAGCAGTTAAGTGCAAAGTCACCCGCGCCCAGCCCAGTTGGAGCTGAGTGGACCAAGCAGTGGCCACACCTGATCTTGACTGGACCCATTATATTGTCTCCCTGAAAAATGGAGACCTGGGACAGAGGAGCTATTTTATGTGAGGTCATATGAAGTCATGGCTGATATGGACAGGGAACGTGAAACAGAAAGAATACAGAGGACGGATGGAGCAGATCCGTTCAGGAAAACAGAGATGAGAGATCCCCATGACCCGGAAGATGGAGAGCAGCTACCTGGGCCACTGGGCAGCCCAGTTCCGGATTCCAGCACACTGAGGGGCATTTCCCATGAATTCCTTCCAATTAATTCCATTTTTGTTCTTAAACTGGTTTGAGATGACTTTGTGCCTTGTAAGCAAGTCATCACTGACACAGACCCATTCTAACAGCTCCCCGCCTTGGGCTGTTACGATGCTGGCACATTTATAATATTAGCAATAATACACGTATTTCACAGATGAAACTCTCTTTAAAAAATTATGGGGGGATATTACAATGTAGGGTTACTAACATGGTATTTCGCAAAGTTGGGGGCACCCAAATACGTCCTCTCTACTGAAAGTTTTACTGTGTACGGTATCATTATTACATGGGAAAGGAGATATTTTAATTAGCAAAAAAGGGGGGTGGGATACTCACACAATTTCAGATTTGGTCTAATAAAAAAGTCTTTACGTTGGGAGCTATTCTCATTTTGGCTCAGGTGGAGCCTTTTTCTCCGTCAGGCACTGTCCATCCAGCATGGCTTTTGGAGCCTCTGCCCCAAGCTGCTGAGCGGAGAGCTGCCCCTCCCTGGGGAAAACACGTGGCACCAGGAATGGTGGCAATGCTACGTGAGCCACGGGAGCAGGACTCAAGGGTTTGGAAGGCTGGATTTCCCTCCGCGCTTCATGGGGACCCAGGATACCAACCCATCTCCTGTTTCCATCACAACTTTCTAGATGT